ACTAGAACTGGAGGCAAGGGGAGGAGGAAGACAGTCAGAGAGGTTAGTTGCTGATAGGGATAAAAGAGGAGCCTAGGCATCTTGGTGTCCTAAAGACAGAGAAAGTGTACATTCCCTAGTGGACTTAAGTGTATGTCCCAGCTGGAGAATGCAGAGTAAACGTGAAATACAGCCCTGTGAATTGGCAAAAAAAAAACCAACCCTAAAACCAAAGAAAAGCTTCCCGTCATCTGGCTTGTTCGGCTTCTCTTTCCCTGTTTCTTGAATCCTTTTCTGACTCAGTCTTTCTTCTCAGAATTCCCTTTGGGAAGCAATATGAGAGTGACCGAGAATGGGTAGAAATCCCTGCCACTTACATACAGGTTTTGAGACCGTGGAAAGCACTTTGAGCCTTGCTTTTTTATCTATAAGAAGACAATGGAAGTAGTTTTCTCATTGGGTTGGGGATTTTGAATATAAAAGTATGTGTGTTGCTTGGCCTTTCGGCACTGTGACAGAACAACTGGGGGGGAAAAACCCTAAAGTAAGAAAGCTTTATTTGGGCTCATGATTTTGGCCCGTTGCATTTAGACCTGTGTTGAGGCAGAAACATTGTGGTCGAAGACCAGCCTGGAGGAGAGCTGTTCACCTCATGGCGACTAAGAAGCAGAGCAATAAGAGCCACACAGAGTGGAAGGGGCTAGGGACAACGTACACCCACCAGGGGCACACCCCCGGCACCTGTTTCCTCCCCTGGGCCCTACCTCCCACCAGCCTATCCAGCTGTGGACTCATCAGTGGGTTGACCAGGTTGTCAGACTTGTGATTCAGTAACCTCTCTCCGCCCATCTCTGGGGATAAATCTCCAGTGAGTCTTGGGGGACACTTTGTATTTAACCCATGGCAGTATGTAAGGGCAGCATGGTCCCAAGCGAACGGTAAGGGGTTATCTATCTGGCAGCCTTGTTGCTGTTGCATCTTCCTTGTTCCTTTATTGAGGGGTCAGTTCTTCTCATCCACTTTTCCGTCATTTTGGAGCACTCTGCACTGGTTTTCATGTGGTATTTTTGTTGTTTGAGTTGAAAACAGGTGTGTGTCTTATTTATTTATTTGTTTGTTTATTTAGGTTTTTTGAGACAGGGTCTCACTATGTGGTTGAGACTGACCTGGAACTCACTATGTAGCACAGGCTGGTCTGGAACTCACAGCATCCTCCTGCCTCAGCCTCCCGAGTGCTGGGATTACAGGTGTGTGCCACCACACCTGGCTGTCTTCTAATTTTAATGTACGAAGTAGTTGAGTGGTCCATTCCCGTGTCCGTCGGTGTGGTAGAGGGTTGTTGAAGTGATGGTGGGGAGCCCTTGTCTCCCTCCCTTCGGATACCTCCAAGGCCTTGAGCAGTTCCATCAACTCTCGGATGTAAGTGTAAGTGTTTGAATTAAGTGTGCTGAGCCCTCAGTGTATATGAGGCAATGGTAAAAATCAAATCTCTCACTAAATAACCCATGCAGTGAAGAGAGGACCTTGTCTGTTTTCCTTACCGTCATATCCCCAGCATCTTCAGATCACGTGGCCATAGAAGATAATCTGAGGGGCTGGGGATTTAGCTCGATAGGACAAAAGAAGGTAGTCTATAATCAGGAATTATTATCAGGGCCCCATTGGCCCACACTGTGGGCCCATCTTCTGTAACTGAGCTTAAATGCAAAGATTCTGGTTATAGATGATTATCAGCCCATAGTCAACATTTTTAGCATTTCTTTTCAAACTTCCCTAAGAGTCCCTGACCGCTTTTCAGTGCCGACTCATCTGCCCCTCTTACATTCCTAGGCTCTGTCATCGATGGTTCGGTAAGTCGCTGTGCAAAGGTTCTCTATTTTTGAAAGCACAGGCTATAATTATGCAACATCACGGCACCATCTGCAAGGTGCTGTGCCATTTTCTTTATTTCTAAGGCAGCGTCACCTACCTCATTTTACAAATGAGGAAACAGAATGAAATCCAGGAGCCATTTCCCAGTGCCTGATTTCAATACACCACTATCCCTGGCATGGTTAGCGTCCCTCCCACGCCCTCTTAGCACCGCAGAAATTTGGGGTGATGAGCCTCTTCCTCCCCTCGCTCAGGGCCCCTGTAGTGGCTCTCAGTGTAGACCGGTGAAACTTTTGCAGTCTCTTTGGTGCCACGTTCCATTCTCTTCTCTTTGAAATGGTTGATTCTTGGGAAGAATACTATTTATGGCTAACATTGCACCTAGACTTACAGGGTGGATGTGGTCTCTGCCTTCAAGGTTAACAACCAGTTGGAAATATAATGCACTCATTCACACATCCAGAACTTCTGTAAAGGACCCCTTTGTTATAGTGAACACAAGCTTCCACATCTAGCAAGATACTATATAGCTGAAAGCCCAGGTTGTGAGATACGCAAGAGTTCTGTCTAGATTTGAATAAATCGAGATACCAGAATTTGCTGGCAGTTTGGATTCCATTTTGAAATGGTTATGTGCTGCTTCTGAACTCACTGTAAAATTTTTCTTTCTGGGCAGTGTGGTTTGTACTCTAGTGTTAGGCAGAACTGGCAACTTGTATAATAAATGTGGAAATGTCAAAACATTTCTAAAACCAGAGATGACAAAATTGAATAATAATATCATCATTTACTTTCCAGACTGAGGTAAAGCAGTGGTTATAATGATTATCTTTAAACAAAGTAAGCAAAATCGACTTTTCACAGGCATGTAGCTTTCGTTTGTGTTGGGACGCCATTACTTTCCCTTATTATTTTGCCAAAACTTTCATGCAGAGAACTGATGAGCAGACAGACAGTGACCAAGAACTATGCTGAGAATATTCCCTGCGTTGGAGGAATGGCTTTCTCCAAATAATCTGACTTGCCCTTCTGATTTCTTCACAATATTCAGACAAGTGTCGCTACTTTCTGTTTCTGAATATCTGAAAACACTTGATAACAATTGAATATTGGCTGCTATGATGTCACCATCAAGAAAAAAGAAACCACGAGGGACTCTAATATTAGACTTCTAAATATAATCTGCTAGTTCTCCACTTATTTCATGAATTCTGGAAAAGCAGTTGGCATTATGTAAGAAAGGAATAATGAGAAACAGGCCTTTCCACTCAGCCCCTGGCAGGAACTGGCTCTGTGAGCCCCGTCATCGGTGACAGTTTGTCCACCTTAAGTATTCACAGTGACCCCAGAACCTGGAGTGTAGGACACCCTGGAGAAACCAGTTCCCTGGGCAGATTGTTCAGCCTTATCAGATGGAAAGGGATAATTGTATACCTATTTCTCCTTCGTATAACCACTGAAAATAAAGCCAAACTCCTTGAAAGTGTTTCAAGAGTAAACAATGAGTCAAACAAAATTTTAGTGGGTCAGCGGGACACTGAGGGTGGTTAGCTGTTTAATGAGACCCTTGATACAGTGGGAAGCGGCTGCATAGAAGGTTAACGCGCCTTCCCCGCCCTCCACGGCAGGTGCACAGACAGTGGCCGTTCAGTCTCATGACCTCACAGTCCGAGACCGAGTCCTTAGAAGGAGTCTTCCTCCTTTGGGTGAAAGGCTGTCTCTGAAAGACACACGTAGGTTTTTGTTCCTTGGGGGGGGTTTTGGTCACTGGATGTGAGTCACCTTGACCTGAAAAATTCTTTGCCTTCTCAGAACCATATATGGAATATGTAGTTGGCTTCCAAACAAAGCAGCCACTGTGTGCACCTTCACTAACAGTGCTTCAGGTTCATTTTTCCGGTGCTGTAACAGAGTGCCACAGGCTGGAAAGTTTACAGAGTATAAGTTTATTTGGCTGATGCTTCTGGGGGCTGGGGAGCGTCTGGTGAAGTGTTTGTGCTGGTTTATACATGGCAGAAGAGCAAGGGCCAGGGATTTAGCTCAGTGGCACTGCACCTGCCTGACAAGTGCTAGGTCCCGAGTCTGATCTCTGGTACGGGGGGAAAAAAACATGGCAGAAAAGCAGAAGAAAAAGGGAATATCTGTGAATGATGCCCAGTGGGTGGCTTATTTTGTACCCACCCATTCTAGGATGACTCACTCCCACTAGAACTTTAATCCCTTCATAGGGGGTGGAACCCTTCTGTCCCAAGCACCTCTTCAGTGTCCCGGCACTTCTCAACCCCTGTGTACTGAAATAAAACCCCAGTGCAAGTTTCAGGGGATCTGCACTGCCTGCCACCACGTGTGAAAGGACCGTGGGAACCCACGTGGCCACCTGCTCACTGGCTCAGGCGAGGGCAGACGTCCTGTCCACCATGAACCTTTCACAGGCAGTGGGTTTGTTGATTTTTCGTCTAAGAAAATTTGGTAATGTCTCTGAAGTTAACTATTTCTTATTCAGAGCTGAAATTTAGAGATACTTTCAACAGTTTCTTTTTTTGGTGGGGTATTAGGGATCAAACTCGGGTCCTTGTGCTTGTGAGGCAGGCAGTGGAACCACTGAGCTAAATCCCTGGCCCAAGAGGTTCTTTTTTTAAATTCTATATTCAACTGGTAAATAAATGTACAGTAGCTGAATAAGAAATGACTTTGCCATGCCATTTTCTACCATTTGATAAGCTTCTATATAATGTCTGCCAACCCATTCTTAGCTCTTTTGTCCTTTTTGGAAACAATTCCTCGTGTTTACATCTCTTGGTATCCTACTACCTGCATTTTCTCTAGGTCCCTTGTCTCCTATGGATTTTTTTTCCCCTCATTGAGTTTATTGGTACTTTTTAGATATACGGTACAGTTACGTTTCCTATGGATTTTTAAGAGTTCAGAGCCTCTGAGAAACCAGACCGGTGACCAGAGGTGGGGGGTTGGCTAATTAAAAGTGTCAGATGCTAGTAACCGACTTTAAGAGGTTTTAATTGGCTTTCAGGGAAAGGTTATGTATGTGTTGGTGTGACTTGAATTCCGAGAACAATCAGTGAGTTACAGAAAGAAGGCTTGTAGTGCCCCAGCCCTCAGCTGTCCTCTCTGTCCCCCGTCCCTCCTTGCAGTGGTGCTGCACGCCCCCCCTCCAACCAAGATCAAGCGGGAGCTGCACAGCCCCTCGTCAGAGCTGTCGGCCTGCAGCCACGAGCAGGCTCTCGGTGCTAACTACGGAGAAAAGTGCCTCTACAACTACTGGTGAGTGGGGGCCCACCTCGGGCGGATTGTTTCAGGTGTTAGCGGGCAGACCCTCAGCATAGAGCAGGCGTCACCCTCTCTGTAGCCCACTCCTCTCTGGGGCCGTTGCTCTGCACACAGAAGTCAAACCTTATTAAAGTGGGGTGGTTCTGCAGGGAGCTAAGTTCAGGGAATACCTGAGCCCTCCTCAGGGAAAGAGCCTGGAATACTGGGATATTTGGTCTGTGGCTTGGAGGCAGGTAATATATACTTCTCCGTGCCTATCATATGTTAATGTGAACTTTAAACACCAAGGATGTAATCTTCAAATCAGAGTACACCAAAAAGCCCCGTGCTTGTGCCCTTTACTTAAGAATATCCAGGCTCCGGGAATGAAGCTTTAATTTTAAAGTCATTCTTTGCTGTAGAAGGTAAACACACATCGCCTTCAGGCAAGAGGAGCAGAGTTGTTAATGCTCATGATGTTACATCAGAAGTTTACCTTCTAGGAAGAGTCCTCAGTAATTCCTGGGAACCCTGGAATACTTGGGAGAGGGGACCAGAGAGCGCCTGAGGCTTCGTCCTCCCCTCACGCATCCACCCCTACACTTGCATACACAGAGAATTCTTTTAGAAGGAGGGAAAAAGGAAACCGGAAGCAGAGGCTAAAATTATCTTTGAGAAAAATCACTAGAAGTGTTAACCAAGTCCCTGTGACTGCAGTGTGTTTGTCACTTTGCAGAGGTACAAATATTCCCTCGGGGCTGCTAGCAGTTTAACTATGTTAATGCTGTCATTTCCTGGCAACAATGGGCTGCAAGCTAGAGTTCTGCTAGACCTGGTAACCATGCTAATGGCTTCATTGCAGTTTAATGGTTCCTTCTTTTTTTCTGTTTACAGTGCCTATGATAGGAAGCCTCCCTCTGGGTTCAAGCCATTAACCCCTCCTACCACACCTCTGTCACCCACCCATCAGAATTCCTTGTTTCCCCCACCCCAGGCAACTCTGCCCACTTCAGCGCATGCCCCTGGAGCTGGCCCAGTCCAAGCTGTGGGCCCCGCCCCCACCCCTCATCCGCTTCCAGAACCCGGACCACAGCAACAAACCTTTGCGGTCCCTCGACCACCCCATCAGCCCCTGCAGATGCCAAAGATGATGCCCGAAAACCAGTATCCATCAGAACAGAGGTGGGTGTCACCATGGACTTTCTCAGCTGTGTCCCTTCCCTCGAGCCTCTTCTCCTCACCGGGAGAGGGAAAGCACTTACCCAAGTTCACCAGGTAGCTGTGAAGTTCTCGTACCACTGAGGCATCCTGTGAGGTAAGACTGAAGTGTGCATGACCGGTCTTAGGCGCCATGCTGTCCCTCAATGGCTACAAATGGTTTATAAAGCATACGACATCCTTAGGAAGCTGGTAAGGGAGAGAGGACTAGCCTCCCCCAACACACACATCAAAAAAGGGAGGACTTGCCCAGGATATACAATCTGTTGACCCTCAAAGGGTGTGTGTGTGGGGGTTCCTGGCTCTTCAACTGGATACTGCCTGTAAGTGTTGAACTTTGGTTTATGTTGCCTGTAATTATTTTATTACCATTTTATTTACATATTAGGGGAGATTGCTGAGATACAGGAGGCATTATTCATCTGATTTAACACTTTCAAGAGTCATTTAGTTAAGGACCTTGATTATGATGATTTACTTCTGAGATAGAAATCTCCTTGTTACACTTCAGGTCATTGAACGGTCTTAACAAGGAACTCAGAGCATCCAGGTAGTTTGTCCAGAGCCCTTCATTTACCAGAAAGTAAAGGTGCAAAGAGATCCCTGCACTGAGCGAACGTGACCTGCTGGGTCTGGACTTAGGCAGTGGTCAAACTCTGGTTGCTTGGGGTCCTACTTTCTGCGGGACGCCCCAGGGCTCGGTGTTGTTATGTCAGATCTGCAGTGATGTAACAGTAGGGCCTCCGATGTGACCACGGGCTGCAAGATGGTGGCTGCTATATTTCACTTCTGCCTTCCCTCGGCCAGGCCCAACCCAATGTTTTCAGAATTTACTTGGAGGTCGCTTAACCTTATTTCTAGATGAAATGCAGAAAACTAATACAGCACTTTGGCTCTGGTCTCCCTCCCGCCCGCTCTGAGCCATCACGAAGTGCTGTGTAATACTGGCTGGTTGGTGTTTACGCCCTCCTCTGGGCAGAGGGTTAAATTGGCAACTAATTCAAATTAAAAACATCAACATTTTGCAGACTAAACAAAATCTCTCTGTGGCTGAACTCACCAGAAAGGCCTGCCAGTTGGTGACCTCTGGCCTAGATCCATTTCTATTTTAATAGGTCTTTGTTTGTTTGTTTGTTCTTGGAGTTACATTTTTAAGCTGCATCTTGCTGATTTTCAGCAGAGGTTATTAATTAGAGAGGGGAGATGACGTGATGTATGTATCCAGTATTTGAAAAAAAAATTGCATACTTTGTATTTGTTATACCATGGGTAAGGGAAAATTACTACTTCATGCTAAATCTGTTTTCCTGGTATTTCCTTCTCAATCCTTGTTTTTCATCCAGGGGCTTGTATAATAGATTGTTTCTGGTTAGCCGAGCTGAGAAGGGAAACTGCCTTAATTCCCTGGAAGTTACTTACCCTCCAGCAGCGCTGGCTGGAGGAGATAGCCTTAGTCCCATTTGTGGAGTCGGCTTTTCTCCAGATGCCTCCCCTAAAAAGGAGACGTTTCGGATTCCTGAGACTTGCGACTGTCTGCCCTCAGGAACCTTAAGGGAGGCGGGCAGGAGTCAGGATGCAGGTATATTTTTCCTGGCGTTTCCGCCTATCCAAGGCAGAATGACTTCCTCCTCCACTGCGCTTGTAGGAAAGAGGGGTTCTAAAACAGAGAGCCTTGAGAACTGGGGTAAAAAGTGAAGTGTTCTCTCATTTCCTGAATTAGAACAGTACTGGAGTGCACAGGAAACCCAGGAATGGGGAGATGGGAAACGAAATACAGACTCTTCCACGCCAGAGTTGAGTTGCTGTGGCCTGAATGTTGTCACACTCAGAGAAATGACTGTCAAGGACTCTCATCTACTCCTGTCCTTCATTTAGCCTACGTTTTTTTAAACTTAAAAATTATTCAGTACTCTGAATTAAGATTGCCCTTGTCTATTGTGAGATAATTGTGTGATATAAAATACATCCGAAACATAACAGTGGTTTTGCTTGTAGATACTGGATAGCACACAGAAAATAAGACATTAACATCCCTGGTTTGATGTTACAAAAATAATTACAGTCTTGTATAATACCAAGTTTAATAATCACACACTTAATACATTCTATTCCTGCCCCAAAGTAGAACAGATTACTTTTGCTGGTAACTTTATAGCTTAGCCTTTGCTCCTAACTTTCTATTAAAATTGGAAGAAATGTTACTTCAAAACTTAACTCCCTAATACAAATTACAATACTTTGCAGGATGAGGAAATACAGGCTTCTTTGAACCTTCTAACAGTTCCATGACCAAGACAGTAAAAATTATCACTATATAGATAAATAAGTAGGCATTGGAGGGCCTGGGATTTAGCTCAGTGGTTCTGCTGTCTGCCGCACAAGTGCAAGGTCCTGAGTTTGATCCCCAGTATCAAAAAGAAAAAGAAAAAGAAGGAAAAAAAAAACAAATAGGCATTGGAGCAGCTAAAGGGCCTCAGCCACACACAGGTCCTGCATTCAGATGTCAAAGTGCTTAATTTACAGTTCCCACCGCTTGTTTTCCTTCTGATTCTTTGACCTGCTGACCTCTCCTGGTGTCTACTAAAAGCTGAGCAAGTGACCTTGATGAACGTTTCAACCTTGAACTCTATCTGTCTGGGTGAACTACCAGATCTTTATCTGTGTCAAGCTACAAGGCCCCCCTGGGTTCCCACATCACTGCGTCTAAACTTGTACAGTAAAATCATTTTTGTTTTGCTCACAGGATGCCCTGTCTATTCACTTAATAGAGTGATGAAAGTTATGATTTAGACCCCTTCCTTAGACTACAGTTATTTTTATTGATAGTGATTGTAGTTCGGTGTGATCATGCTTCAAAATGTATATAATCTAGTCAAAAGTACACTCTTACCCAACACAGTTTATTTTTAGAAGATAAATAACCTCTTGGAAGCTGTGCTTTATACCAGTGACTTCCTCCCTGTGAGGAGGGGTGAGCGTGTAAACCTGGCGTGTTCAGACACGTTCCCTTTGTCCTGAAAGACCGAGCAGCTGCACTTTGGGAGGTGGGCTTTTCCTGCAGCCAGCCGTGACGGTCAGGAGTGCCGAGTGGGGGAACACAGGAGATGCTTCCGTGTGACACCACTCGTGCTATCTTGAACCAAGGAAAAAGCCTCACACAAGAAGACGCTCCACTGAGAAAATGTGTCATCTGAGAATTTTGGAACGTGCTGCTCGGTCCCACGCTTGACATCAAGAAATAAAAACCCAGAAAGAGACAAAAAGTATTGGCTGTGGAGGGTGGGAAAATCCTCTGCTGCCTTGAAGTATGAGCAGGCCACATTGTTGGAATGTAGTGTACAGGTTACCAACAGGTCAGTTACATTCAGAGGTCCCTTAAAGAAGAAAGTTCTCAAGGGAGCGAACTGGTGGTTGCAGGCAAAGGGCTAAAAGCTGACAGCATGAACTAACTTTGCTGGAATTTTGATTTAAAAGAAACTACTCGTTGCTTAAAGATGCTAAATTAAGACATGTAATAGTCTTAGGTTCCCCCCTCGTTTCTGCTTCTTCTGAAAGCCCATCCCTAATAAATTGCTGCTTGTCTTTGCCCATCAGATTTTGTAGTTTTCAGAAAGGAAAGAACTCAACAATGAGTCACACGTGTAGCATGGCCTGGAATCAAGTAATGTCTGACACATCTCCTTTGCATTAATAGCATACTCGGTATGGCGACACAGATGTTCTCGGGCACACAAAAATCCAAAATTGGTGCTTAATTGGGCCTTCTTTGACAGAAGGAGTAATGGGCTTCTAATGGTTGGAATCCAAGGTGATTTTGTGTTTGGGGATTTTTTATATTCTAAATCTTTAGAGGGCTATTTTTCAGCATTGTACCATGTTTACTGTAGTCTTCTTATTAAGTTCTATCAAGCTAAAAGAGTTTTGCTTCTGGCCCTAGTTTACTAAAAGTTCTTTATAAGAAGCAGTTTTGAAATTTATCAGCCTTTGAGATGAACCAGTATTGTTTTGTCTTTTTTTTTTCCTTTTAGTAATGCAGTTTCACTGATGTATACAAAACCAACCTTGCATTCTTGTGATAAACCCAACTTATTTGTTAGGTATCATCTTCTGTGCATTGCTGCAGTTGATTACATATGTAGGATTTCTGTATCTATGATTAAGTATAAGGTAGCATTCATCTCTTTCCTTTATCATTGAGGTTATTATGCTTAACAAATAAGCAGAGAATGTCCTTTCTAATTTAGAAGTATCTTATGTGAAATTGGAATTCTTTGCCTTTTGAATCTTTTTTTCCGGGTGTTGGGGGTACCAGGGATCGAATTCGGGTCCTTGCATCTGCTCAGTGGAACCACTGAGCTAAATCCTTAGCCCTGAATCTTTTTTTTTTTTAAGAACTTCACAGTAAAACTATTTGGGCTGACATATTGCTTATGAGAAGATTTATAGTTTATTAGATCAGTGTCTTTAACTTGTGCAGTTCTCTGGATTTCTACTTAGTTGACTATGTTAAAAAATATAGTGACTTCTAGGAATTTTTCTCATTTTGTGTGACTTTTTAAATTAGCAGAAAGTTGTTTGTGATCTTAAATTTTCTGTAAATCAAGTTGTTTCTTTTTCATTTTTTATGTTAGCCTTGGAAAACACTATTGTCTTTTCAACAAATCCACTATGGCTTTGCTTATTCTATTGGCGGTTTTCCTAGCTCATTGATGTCGGCTCCTACTAAACATTTTGTTTTTTCTGTTTTCTTTGAGTTTATTCAGTTTTTCTAATTCTTTGGTTGACTAATTAGCTCATTAAATTTTAGCCCACTTTTATAGTATGGGCATATAACTAAATTATGATTTCCTAAGGCTGAGATGACCATTCATAAGGATTTCCCAGTCACTTAAGGTTTATGCCTTAATAGTTGATAGAGGTTTTCCCTTCTACTCCCCAAAGTGTCTGGGTTAAGACATCAGTTA